TTCTGATTTAAACAGGATCTGAGGCACCATCAGTGGGCCATAAATTAACTGGCCACTATAAAGATTGCCATCAAACAAAGCAATTATAATTAAAATTCGTCACCTACTGGAGCAATTAAGGCAGGAAGCGTGAGCGATTTAAGATATAACAGTCTTTCAATTAATCTGAATTTTAAAACATTCTTTCCTTTTTTTGTTTGGAGTGTAAAAAAGACAAAGAAGAGCATTTCTCGAAGGAAACCAAGGAGTAGGGCTGTCAACATGATGATGCACCATGATGAGTCAGAATCCCTCGAGGAAATTCCTTAATCTCGCCCTCAAAAATGCAAAGAAAAATCCACGGGCTAATGAAACGATTATGCTGGCCTTAGCTTATTATAATTATGAGCGGCTTATTACGCTTGTGTGGGCTTCGGGGGAGCTCCAGCCCAGATTCGGATGAAGAATCTTGCCGGCGATGATCTCATCGATTGCATCAGATTTCGCACGGTTTGTTGTTTTATGTGGCGCGCAATTTTTGTTCTCATTTCGAGCTTATGGCGTTTTTTTGTGCAAAAGACATTCAGACATATGCAGAATATTCAAAATTAGCCGTTGGCACGCCACCCCGCGCTATCATATCAACGCTTTTTTTAAGGCGGGCCAGCACACATCCAGCCAATAACCGAAAAGGCCGAAAAGTTTTGGCCTCATGGTCAATGCCATGAATTCGTTGCATTGGACGCTTGAGTGACAATCGTTGACAGGCCAGATAAAAAGCGAAATGAAATACCTGAACATAGGAGCATGAGATACATAAAGATTTTCCCCAAACTCCCGCGCACAGGTAGCCTCCAATCACGGCAAATTGATTGATCTTACACACAACTTTGTGTGTGTGGCCGACTGTGGCGAATCAATCAATTGACAAAAATTGAGAAAATAAAAAAACACAAAAAAAACCAATACTGCTGATTGGAGTCTCTTAATTTGGCTTATTTCCTTTCCCCCCTGACTTGACATCTCCATTTCGAAGAAACATTCTTGGGCGTTGTCTGGCGACAGCTCTTGTGTGATCCAGATACAGGCCATAAATAATGAGATTTGCATATGAATTTGTAACTGTTCGGTGTCTATTAATATCGCCATACATCAAGCTCCGTTGCCTCAAATGCTAATGATCGTTTAAATCCAGTTTCGAGCCCTGCCGTAATGAGGCTCATGGCATCATTCACACTGACCTCTCATTAAGCCCCGCGAGTGAATTTCGAATTTGAATTTGTTATTGCAGCAAGTGTTTTCAGTTCGTATTTGTTTGTTTTTTGCATTTCAAGTGGTTCAAGTGACGTCAGCCTCAAAAAGAATGATTTTTCGGAATTATCAAAAGCGGTCTTGGAGAGGCCATACACCAAAGTCACTTTATAGCCCTAATAAAATTATTGCTATAGCAAATATTGCCCAGATTTTCGAAGGCTATTCGAAGCAAGCTAATATTTAAATTTAAACCGTAACACCTTTTAAATTCTTCGGAAAAGTACACATCTCATAATGATTTATTAGACGTATTTATTAGAAATCGATCCAAAAAACAACTTGGTAGAGTAACCCAGAAGCGAGTGATTGGCAAAGTACAACGATTATAGCTTGCCAGGCGATATCTTATCATCGAAATTTCCGCACTTTACGTAGACCATGGCCAGAATTCGATTCGATTAGTCAGAGCCAAGAATAAAAGCAGACAAACCCGATCGAGACCGGGTCGGAAACAAATCGAGGTAAAAAGGTGATGGGGTAACGGAAGCCATAATATAGGGACCAGGTGGGAAAGATTACGACAGAGGTCCAGAGAATCTGCGATGACAGCGATATTTATTCCCCCGAACATTGATGTGTATATATACATATAGTATGTAGTATACCCCGATCGAGTACATATATTTTATTGTAGAAACGCACAAACAAACAAACAAAAAGCGCTACTGGGGAAAAGAAAAGGAAAACTTTAAGGCCAAAATGTTTATGTTTTTCTTTTTCAGAACATTTGGGGTCGATTAAAAGAAACACAGGAAGTTTAGCCAATATCAATGGAGGTAGGGGGCCCCAGCTTTTAATAGATAGTACTTGTAAGTACTCAACAATCGATCTATCTATCTATTTAACTAACTAACTAAGTATCTAAGCCACTTACCTTCTCGGCAAACTCCTCCCGGGGACGCCGTGAAATGGTTGGCGTGGCACTCATGGTAAGTTCCTTGGTCGGCGATGGTGTCATTTTAGCAATTATCTCTCTCCTATCGTTGTTTATTATTTATTAAATTTATAAAACTCACTGGGAACTTTATTTCGTATTGCTTTTGGTTGCACTAAGTATTTTTAGGTTTCTATTAGGTTTTTTTTTTTGCTTTTTCGATTGGCTTTGCCGGCTGCGAAACAAATTAAATTTATTATTATATTTTATCAGTTGGCAAAGTGGTTCCTATGTTTGCCTCTTTTTAGGTCTATAAACAAATTATTGCGTTGCCGTTGAAAAATGTTGCTAACGTGAAACTGTTTTTGCCACTTTAGTTTTGTTTTTGCTTTTCATTAATTGCCGGTTGGGGCGTTGGTGTTTGTACAGTAGATACCTGGAGTGGGCTTTGTAGAGGCCAAGAAACCTTAACTTGAAAATCTTCTATTTAACTATATAGTCTTGCCAAGCCACAAATCAGTTTTTAATAATTTTTTCATAAATATTAAATGGCAAGAAACCGATTAGTTTAATTGAAATTTATTGGATTTTAAAGCTACACCAGGCGGGGGTACTGTAACTGATATCCACTGTATGGATATGGCCATGTTGCCGGTTGCGATGGCTATATTCCCAATTACAGTTACAATTTCAAATCGCTAATGAGTCTGGAAGTTGGATCGTATGCAAAGAATGTTGTCATTTCGTTATTTTTAGCCGCCAACGTCACAGAAAGGTGAACCGGAACGCTCCCAAAGCCGGTGTGGTTGTTGTTGCCACCACCGATGTCGATGTTGCCAGCTTTTGTTGAACGTTGATGTTGATTATTGACCCCGAGCGGGTGAAAGATGAATAAGCACCAGCGGAGCGAAGCCGGCCGGCTAAATGCGACCTATTAATTGGTATTCTGCTATTGATATTTCTTATAATTCTTTTTTTTTTTATCAGCGTGCCCCCCTGCTCGAGAGAGCGACCTTCACAGATTGCAATTCTAATTGGAATTCAATTATGGCCCTGCGGCTTCACGAAGAAGAAGCAACAGTTTGTTGAAGGAGTCGCCACCAACACACACACACACAGACACAGATACAGATACTCGTACTCAAAGATACAGAGATACTTGGCTCACACGCACACCGGTTTTAAACTTGTTATCGGGAACCAAAAACTAAAAACTCAAAACTCAAACTCAAAACTCTAGGCCGGCTCCCCAAGAAACGAGTTCTGGAATAGCACCACCACCAGCACCAAGCCGCACTCAAGTGTTTTATTTTGAAACGCATGGTTTTTTTTTTCTTCAACTATTTCACATGTGTAATTTGAGTTTATTTTTATTTCTTGGACTTTATTTTTTTTGCAATCGCCAGGAGCAAAATAACAGAAAGACACACACTCGACCCTTTTTTTACTTCAAATTAAAAACAAACGAAAGTAAATCAACGAAAACGAAACGGAAACCCGAACGAGCGCCACACCGCCGACGCGATTCAGTTCCAAAAGCGTACTGACTGGGTTGTTGATAATATCACTGGGGGTCGGCCGTTCACGTAGGTGACGAAGCGCATTCCCGGTTGCGGGAAAACCTAAGTATTGTTAAAATAAAAAAATCGTTGTATTTTCTTGTTAATTCTATACCAGAAGCTAAATCTAGTGCTAGTGCGGCACCTTTTATACCTAATTAGAGATTAATTTGGCTTTTGTTTTCAGTGTAGCTTGTGTTTATGAGTAAGTCTAGATTTTGATTAAAAATATAATTCAATAAATTATGAATAATTATATAATTACTACATATGTATTGGATTAATCATCGACAAAATTAATAAAAGCTATAATTATGATACATTTAAAACAAAACTTTAAATTATACTTATTTTTTCGAGTGTCTTCTGTGGTTCGGACACAACTGAGCGACGAACTCAAACTTGGTTTGACGAGCGCCAGTGCTGAGAAATTTCGAACCGAAATTCCATTTTTTGACGTTTTCCAACAAAAACATTTTGAATTTCCCCGGTTCTTTTCGTAGCATTATTTTTATTGGATTTAAATCGTTTAAGATACTCCGCTTGGAAATCGGATGAGAATTGGGGAAGATATAGACATCGCAGTGGACCCTATAGGGAAAAACCCCATTTTCAAGGGGTCCCATCAGGAAAATTGGACAAAAAATCGAAAAAATATTTTGTCTCAGGATTTTGATGCAGAATGATGGCGAATCGATCCTCAAATCGTTTAAGGTACTCCGCTTGGGAATCGGATGAGAATTGGGGAAGATATAGACATCGCAGTGGACCCTATAGGAAAAAACCCCATTTTCAAGGGGTCCCATCAGGAAAATTGGACAAAAAATCGAAAAAATATTTTGTCTCAGGATTTTGATGCAAAATGATGGCGAATCGATCCATAAATCGTTTAAGGTACTCCGCTTGAGCATCGGATGAGAATTGGGGAAGATATAGACATCGCTGTGGACCCTATAGGGAAAAACCCCATTTTCAAGGGGACCCATCAGGAAAAATGGACAAAAAATCGAAAAAATATTTTGTCTCAGGATTTTGATGCAGAATGATGGCAAATCGATCTAGAAATCGTTTAAGGTACTCCGCTTGAGAATCGGATGAGAGTTGGGGAAGATATAGACATCACTGTGGGCCATATAGGGGAAAACGAATGCTTACTATTTCTTTAAAGCTTAAAAAATTAATTTCTCTATTTCGTTTAACATTTTTTATTTAAACTTTAGATAAATGCTATATAATGCTGTCTTAAAGGCAACCAATCCAGGAAAACCGTCACCTTTGGCTACTAAAGTAAACGCTACGCGTGCAAGGATTCCTTTATTGCAATTGGCACTGGTACTTATGAGCTTCCATCCACCTAACTACCGCGGTTGGCCTGCTCCACGGCCTGGATCTGGGCCTGAAGCTCTTGGATGTGCTGCTCGAACTTCTGGATGTCGCCCGTAATCTGCTGAAGACTGGTCAGCACATTCTTCAGCTTCTCTGCATCAATTTGGACTTCCAGCTCCCGAATCTGCTTGGTGACGTTGCCGGTGAGCGAAACGCATTCCACCAGCTCACTGCAATTGGAATGGAGTTGGGCCAGCAGCTTGTAGGCCCTCTTGGCATGGAGATCGTGTTTGGCGCTCTGGAAGAGCAGGTCATCCGTATAATTGAACTGGCGCTGCAGTTGGGCTCCCACCACATTGAGTTGCTTTTGAAGCTGTCGCGTATCGTCGAGAACTTTGAAGATATCCGCTCTCTGCTTGCGGATGTTACCAATGAATTCATGTATCCTGCGAGTGTATTCTTTGCGAGGTGCCAGCGATTGGCTGGAGTTCCTGAGGGCGGCGTTGAGTTCGTTGTGCTGCACAGTTTTTTCCTGGAGCTCCTTTTCCAACTGTTCTATATTGCTGCGAATGCCCTGGACATGCTGGGCTTCCGTGGCGGACTTCAGGGTCTCGAGGTTTTCCAGAAGCGGCTTCCTGTACTCCTGCCACTGCTGGGTGAGAGTCTGTCGTTTTGCCTGAGTGGACTTGAGTAGGGCCTCCAGTTTGGTTATGTTCTCCTCGGGATCTGCCAAAACCAAAGAGGCCCGCTCGTGGGCTTTTAGAAGAGGTTGGATGCGGCTTATTTCCTCAGAGGCTTCAGTTTCCCGAAGCTTTAGGGCACTCAAGGCAGCTGAATGAGCCTTACGCTCCGCCAATAGGGTTTCGCACTGTAATTGAAGCTCTTGGACTTGCTTGCTCAGTTCCTGGGTAGGATCAACATCACTAGACGGTTTCTCTGGTTGGCTTTTACTGGGATTGAATACAGGTGTGGGCTCTTCACTTTCGACAAAAAAAAGATCCGAGTCCGGCAACCCATAACCCCACCGATCCATTTCGTTTTTGTGCAGCACCGAGGCGATGAGGTCCACCGAACTTGAGGCAGTTTGTTGGAAGAGATTCGGTGCCAGCTGGTCAAAGTATTGCTGCTCCTCCTTGGTCCGCGTCTCGGGATTGGCGGACGGAACACTGAGATTAACGTGCGGTCGGAAGTCAATACACAGGCTGCTGCAACCCATGGACTTTCTGTTGCCCACGGACCTGGCAAATTGTGGCACCCAGGGCGTCTTTAACTGGGTGGTCAGCTCCTTGCGGATGCGACGCTGCAGCAGCTCTCGGTGGCTAAGCGATTGCAGCTTCCCGGAGCTCTCCTCTTTCTCCAGTCGCTCGCGAGGCAGTTGCTCGATCAGATACATCAGCAGCCGTCGCAGTTCTACGGCATTGGGATAAAGGAATGTCTGATAGCCAATGTCGCCTCGGTAGCCACACTCCTTGCAACTCTCCGCCAGGGAGGTGGCTACTCCAAACCGCTGGGCCATGGCTCCTCCGGGCAAGGAACGGGGCAGCTCCAGTTCTGGACGAATCTCGGACAGGCAGCCGGAAACTGCACGAACCACCTGTTCCGGGGTAAACTCCGATAACTCCTCCGTGGGATCGATGCCAGGGTCCACCTGGTTGAGCTGGTGCATAATTATCTTGTCCACTTCGTCCATGGTTGGATTATTTTGTTGGTTCGTTTATTTTGGATATTTATTTTCGCATTTTGCAGTGTGACCAGAGCGATGCTTCAAGAAAATACTGCATGTAGTTGTGAGACGACTTGATAGGCAGCACTGTTTGTGTAAAAGCACTTTCAAATATTCTTGTTTTAAAAAATAGCAATTAATTTTGAACTAGAACTAATATTAGAAAATGCAGAATTTATTTTATAACAGTTTGGTAGCTAAGATCTTTGAATTCCAATGGGTTCCATCCAACGGCAAAGGACTTTCGATCATGGGAGACAAAAAAGTCCAGTACCATCGTTTTCCCAATGTAATCCTAAAGTTTTCTAAAAGTCCCAGATTGTAAGTGGAATCGCAACTTTTGTGATATGTAGAATTGGCGGCAATCAACAGGACTTGGTAGCCGAACATAATAACTGGTGCCACAAAAGCGAACACATTAATAAGGACTACTAAGTCCATCCAGATATTCCAACCATCCCAATCTAGTCGCTTATCAATTTCCATAAATAATTCCAAAATAAACCTAAGTTGGATAAAGACTAGAGAGTTGTTTGCCATGAAAACAAATACATAATTGGTTCCCAATGCGATGGCAGTGCCCAACGTCATGTAGAAGGTGTACCAGAAGAAGTACCTTTGGTTCTTTAGTCCGACGCAGGTGGCGGTGAAAATGCAGTGGTGGTCTCTCCGAAGAATGCAGCATCGGCACAATTTGCAGTGCCAGGATCTAGGCTATAGTAGAATGTTTATATAGGAGTATATAATAGAGTATTTATTTAGCTTAGTTTACCGGCACCAGCATCTGGCATAAGTCACAGTAATGCCATAAGCTCGCCTCTTCTGGCTTCGGAGATCTCTGCTCCTGCGTTAGACCATCCACTGAAGAATCTGTGCAATAGACTGCAAATAGGTTGGCAAAGATATTGTAACTTATGAAGACGGCTATCATCCAGTATATCTTGCAAGCCAGGCTCTCTGACCCGAACATGGTGGGCACTACATAGAGCGTTTCCGTCAAAACCAAAAAGACGGTGCAGACTATAACTATCGCGATGGCAAACGGATGGGCTATGGCCACGAACTTTCTGGGAGAACGTCCCGCATAATATTTACAAGCGTCCACCACAAAACACATTTTCTTTTAATTACAAAATATAAGTTCTATGTAGTATATTTTAACAAAAAAGTCAATGAAGTTTTTCAATATAAGTCCCCTTTTTTTACAAGTTCCATTTCCTTTTTGGACTTTGCCCCTGACATTTCAGGTCTTAACGTCATTATCATCTGACCACCAACCTATGACCCTTTTGACTGTGATTGAGCGAAAATTCGCTGATATTATTTTATTGCACGCCGGGCAGAAAATCGTCTTTGCGGGCACGCAACCACAAAGCCTAATTGAATTTGTCCGACGCCTGGAACGGTGTATAAATAAAGAACTGCATTGAATGGCCACAGTTCAGCCCTGTGGTCTGGGGTATCCGATTCGGGTATCGGGTTAGCCGAAATGGAGCCGCTGTGCAACGCTAGCGAACCGCCCTTACGGCCGGAGGCAAGGATGTCCTCCGGGAACGGCGAACTGCAGTTCCTCGGCTGGAACGTGCCCCCCGATCAAATCCAGTACATTCCGGAGCACTGGCTGACCCAGTTGGAGCCACCCGCCTCCATGCACTACATGCTCGGCGTCTTCTACATCTTCCTGTTCTGTGCCTCCACTTGCGGCAATGGCATGGTCATTTGGATCTTCAGCACCTCCAAGTCCCTGAGGACACCCTCGAATATGTTCGTTCTCAACCTGGCCGTCTTCGATCTGATCATGTGCCTGAAGGCTCCGATCTTCATCTACAACAGTTTCCATAGGGGCTTTGCTTTGGGCAACACCTGGTGTCAGATATTCGCCTCCATTGGCTCCTACTCGGGAATAGGGGCTGGCATGACCAACGCCGCCATTGGATATGATCGATACAATGTGATCACCAAGCCCATGAACCGGAATATGACGTTCACCAAGGCCGTAATAATGAACATAATCATCTGGCTCTACTGCACTCCATGGGTGGTCCTCCCACTGACTCAGTTCTGGGATAGATTTGTGCCAGGTGAGTGAAAGAAGCTACTTAATACAGGGATCTAAAGATGAATCTATCTTCTATATATACAAGGCCAATATAACTCTCACTGATGGGCACTAAGGTTCTTTTCTTATACTTTTATTTAACCAGAATTTAGTCTAATAATATTTATGAAGGATTTTGTAGATCCTAAACTAAAGAATCTAAATCTTTAGAATCCAACTCTTTAAAACCAGGATTAGTTTTCCAACTGGCTCCATCGTGTTGCAAAGTACTATTCAGGTTAGGCGACAAAAAAGTCCAAAATCCCCGCTTGCCCAACACAAGATCGAAGGTGTTCCTGATTCCCAGATGGTATTGGCGATTATACTTGGACATAAAATCACTTTTTACATATGTGGACATAAACTGGCACACGAAACTACCGCCCGTGGCCGCCATAGCCACTATGCTTAGGAAGTAAAGTAAATCCAGGAAGTTGTCGAGACTTTCTGGGTTATTGGCAGGCCTCTTCAGAAGAAAGACTTCCGTATAAATACTTGCATAATAGGTCAGAAAAGACCTTTTATTCTTCAAAATTGCAATGAAGATCATGACCATCGCTATAAAGTTTCCAAGGGCCAGGTAGAAGGTGAACCAGAAGAAGTACCTATGGTTGTTGTGTCCAATGCAGGATGCTGTGAATATGCAGTGGTGATTTCGCTTCAGGATACAGACATTGCACAACTTGCAATGCCAACTTCTAGGCTGAGGGATAATGAGGGATAATAAGATCTTCCAAAGAATTTGAATTTCCCATTTACCGGCACTAGCTTCTGGCACTTGTCACAGAAATGCCACAAATGCTCTTCCTCCGGTTTGGGAATCTGACGCTCCTTGGGCAGACTCCCCACCGAGGTATCCGTGTAATGGGCCGCAAACAAGTTGGCTATAATGTTGTAGGCAACGAAAAGGTTTACAAACCATAAGATGAAGTACATCGCACTTCCGGTTCTTATAATCTGGGGTACCACGTACAACATTTCCGCGAAAAGGAAAAACTTTGTTGCTGCCAGGACAAAAGCAACTGCTGGTATGTGGGTTATCTCGACGAACCTCTGAGGATTTCGATTAATATATCTTTTGAAAAAAGGAATCAAAAAACACATCGTGACTAGATATAGTTTCTTATTACTTCGAACTGGATAATAATTTTATAATATTTAACAGTTTTTGAAAAGAGGAGTTGATATTTTTCAAAATGAGATTGAAAGAAACCTTCAGTTATAAAGAACTCTGGTAGTTTAATTTTCCCTTAAATATGAAAAAATACTTCCAATCACTTCTGATAATTTTTATTTCCTAGCTGAGAGACCTCACAAGTTACGTACAAAATAATACTTGGATGGTATTATATGGCTAAAGATACATACATAGTTGAAGGTCAGTTTGCCAAATCGGCGAAAAGTCTGTCTGAGGCATATGGGGGTTTTCGGTTTTTTTTAAGGATATCTAGTTCTCTGTAGACTGATTAGCCTTGCGGATGACCACGTTTAGGGCTAGGTTACCATCCTCCGAGAACAGTTCCACGGTTGACTTGTTGAGCACCAAAAAGTCGGCATTGGTGAATGAGACGAAGCTCTCGCGAATAGAGCGCGGCTTGGACTGCCAGCGCAGGATGCGATTGTTGGCATCCAGCCCGATGTTGTAAACGAATTCGGCGGCATCCCGTATAGTGCCGATCATCCGGCAGGCGGCGAAATACTGCTGGCAGCCCTCGCCCAAATGAATCTTCTCCAGCGAGAGTAGAAAATGGCGCCCATGACAAGATTGAACCATGGTCCAATCAAGCGCACCTTCGAGATTCACGTTTGTGGCCAGGAACACGATGTCGCTGCCCTCCATGGTGATCACGTTCTCGTGTGTGGTAACCAGATGGTCGTAAATGTCCTTCAGAGGCCCCTGCCAAACGCACTTATCGTCCGGATAAGGACAGACGTATGGACGGAATTCGCAGTCCTCCTCGTGATCCTTTTTGTTCGTATATGAGACATTAATGCGGCAGCCGCAGCTCGAATGCTTGCATGGAAAGACTAGCTTCGAGGCCACCTTCTCCATGGCCAGATTCCGGATGTTACTCATCGTCACCCGGCAGACGGGGCATGCGGTGAGCTTCGGCCTGCAGGTGGAGCAGATGAGGTGCCCGCGAGAGCACTGCATAATCGGTGGCATCATGTATCCAAAGCACACCGGGCACTCGAGCAGCGAGACCAGGAACTGACTGAAGATCCTGTCAAGGTTCCGTATAGCCATACTGGGTTTGTCTCCATCCTGAATCGCCACCTGCTCGCCAGCGGCTGCCGGATCTGGAGACCCCGACGAGACATCATCTGGCTTCTGGTCTTCATTGTTCAGGCTGGCCAGTTCCGGGGCTGATTGTCCGCGCGATAGCATCCTGCAAGGTGGAGTTAATTTTCAGAATTGATCGGTTGCCGAAATGTATTAAATATCAGGTATTACTTAGTCTGATGTGGGAGTAAGTCGAACTCTAAAAATTTGAAATATAATTTTTGGTTGAATTTATTTTCAATAAATATTTTAAATAGCACTGGAGAATTTCATTCTAGTTTAAAATCCGAAGAGAGATAGATCGGAACTGAGAAGTTGTTTCAAAAGTCAGTGGCTGGAAAGGTGATTTTTTGAAAGTAGCCTACTAAGGGATATGTTTTCTCTCCAGTTGTCATTGCTGAAATTTTATAATTATATTTTGTAAGAAAATATCGGATATATAGTGCATACATCCGAATATAGCTGCCCAAATGAATTATAAAAATAGTTTATTTTATAATTCTTTTAGGAAAAATTTCGAAAATTACAAATTTCTATCTTTAAAAACACCAAAGATGTGGCATTTACGATTAATCAGTTTCTTGAATGGCAGCTATAAGATACATATAGTCGGATAAAAGTTTTAAAAATAAATTTAAATGAATAAATTAAAAAAAAATTTTTTTTAATTTTCACAAAAAAAAATGCAGCGAGATAAAATTACAACAAAAACCTAACAAAACAAAAAAAACAACTAACTACAACAACAAAAGCAAACAAAAAAAAATAAACAACAAAAAATAATTAATTATTTTTTCGATTTTTCGGGCTTGCTTAAGTGCAACCTATGAGAATCGAGGAGGAGGGCGCTATTTTTTAATTAATTTTTTTTTTAACTTTTATTAAATTGTTACCAAATAAGAGTATCTTCTGGAATGGTATCATACGCAAACAAAAGGTAGAATATTACGCTTTATTACTATTGGGTATCTAGGCGCCCTTAAAAGTGGGCAATGGAAATATAAATGTTTACTTTTTCAGATTTCTATTTTAAAAACTTACATATTTTTCTTTAGAAATTGTAAAAGAATTAAGTATATAAATGGAATTACATAAAAAATAGCGTCTATAGAAAGTCCCAAACTTGTTGATATACCCTTGCAGTTAAAACCGGATATACCATATGGATAAAATCGGATGTAGTTGGGCGATCATTATGAGAATTTTTTAATATCATAATATATCTATAATTATTAAGCTATAGACCTAGAATTCTAAGGAATCTATTTGGATTCCCTAATACCTTGTTCCAATTTTTGATTTCAAAACAAGCAAAAATATGCTGCAAAATATTATTTTTTGAGAATCTAACTAGAAGCTCTAAGCTCTTTTTGTGGAGTAACTAGAAGCGTACCGGGTATCATATAGTCCAGAAACTGGACTATAACCGTCCATTCTTGGACGGGTAACATGCTCTTTAGGGTAACCTCTAGATAGTTTTGGTTAATGCATTACTATTATGAGTTACTCCAACTAAAATGTAGAAAGACTAATATTAAGTTTGTATATATTTTTCTAAAGATATATGCATATATGATACGAAAGTAAACTATAAACTAGATTCAATGCAAAATTGATCCATAAAAGTAGAACTCTTTTAATGCTATTTTCTCCCCGATTTTCCCGGTAACACAAATTAATAAAAAAACATATATATTTTTTTTACTTTTACTAATCACGTTTATTTCACTTCAGTAGTTTGTGTGTGTGAGTGATCTCGTATGGTAGTGGCGCGGTAAATCGGCGCATTAAAAGCTAATTACGGTGCAGATGCTTTAAAATCATTTTTCATCCATTTTCGATCGGGCAGAAAGAATTCCAAAAACAAGAAACCAAACTATGAGCCGGGGGAACTGGAGGAGATCGTCTAAACTAGGTGGATATATAAACATTAACATTGCTTGTCGTACGATTTAGGATTTAAGGATGGGAGGAGGATGGGTATACGAAACTGTCTTTTTTTTGTATTATTGCGAAAATAAAAAATGATCTCGTCATGTTATTATTTTTTTTGTGATGGTTTGGCTGCTGCAACTCTCAATCAAACTCTCGAGTTATTACAGATTACAGATTATAGCTATCAAATATTATCTTTGTTTGTGGTTTCGCATTTGTTGCTATTGTTATTCTGTATTGTGTTTTGTTAATTTCGTTAAACTGCTCGTTTACTTATTACCATTTACAATTATTGTATAAAATAATTTACATTAACTAAACTAGGATTTGCAGTGTTTGAGTTCGAGTGTGTGTATGTTCCACCTTCTTGTTGGTCTTTCCGAGAGGTTTGTTTTTTGTGTCTGTTGTTGGGTGGTGGGTGGTGGACAGGCAGCTCTGCTCCAGGTGTGTGTGTTGTGTGTGTGTGTGGCCCGCCGCAATCGGCTTACAAACTAAATTGAACTAAAGCAGAACCCCACGAGCCAAACATATAAAAAAAATCAAGAAAATCGTAGTATGAGGAGGAGGATTAAGTGAAAAATCAAGTCCTATGTAGATCTAAAGTACCAATCGAACCGTTTAGACATACAAACATACAGACCCTATTTCGATTTTCACAATCAAAGAATTATGAATATATATTTTTTTAATTCGAAAACTAATTAAAAGAATTATTAATTTAAGGTACTTTCACATAGAACACAAAAAATCACATCTTCACAAATATTATACAACTTGAAAGTAAGATCCCAAAAAGAGAAGATAAAACCAATTCTCCAGATGTGAAAATCGAATCGGGTCTGATATTTCCATAGATATATACACATATGCATGTACGTGGCTATTAGAATGAAGAATCATTTTTATAAAACAACTCTGCACAACTACATATCTCTGTTTCTGTTTCGGTTTCTTCTATCCCTTCTCAGGGGGGGCTATGTATAAACTATATATGCATATATATATATATATGTATCGGAAAAAAATTAAACAAAAAAGTAAGAACTCGGCGAATTGACAGTGCGCTTAGACTTAGACCAGGGAAATGGTCACGTTGATGCCCAGGTTGCCATTATCGGCAAAAAGTTGCGCAATCGACGTGTCGAACACCAGACAGTCCGAGTTGTGGATCGCTGAGGCCACACCTTCGTGGATGGAACGCGGCATGGCCTCCCAGGTGAGCCGCCGCCGGTTGCCGTTGAGCTCCAGACGATACACAAAGTTCTCCGCCTCCTTGCGCGATCCAATCAGCTGGACAATGGCAAAGAACTGCTGGTGGCCGTCATACTTCTCCTGTTTCTCCAGCACGAGCATAAAATGATGGCCGAAGCAGGACTGCATCATCACCCAGTCAACGGCGCCGGGCAGGTTGATGTCAGTGGCCAGGAACACAATGTCCTCGCCCTGCAGCGTTGTGATGCTCTTGTGCGACATCATCAGGTGCTGCATGACTAGGTCGAGCGGGCCCTGCCACTTGCAGCTGGCACCTGGGCAGGGACACAGATATGGCCGGCACTCGCACGTCTCCTCGTGTTCCGTCTTCTCCGTGTAGACCAGTGACGCAGTACATCCGTAGCCGGAGTGCTTGCACGGGAACTTAACATTTGAGGCCACCTTCTCCATCGCCAGATTCCGGATATTCGCCAGCGGGCCACGGCAGGTGGGACAGCAGGTGAGCTTTGAGCGGCAGGAGACGCACACCAGGTGCCCGCTAGAGCATTGCAGAATGGGGGGCAGTACATAGTCGAAGCACACGGGGCACTCGAACAGTGATGTCAGATCGGCGGACATGCCGGCATCACCGCCGCCGGCGGACGACAGCGAGGAGCTGGATGACGAGGATGTGTTCGCCGACGATGTGTTACCGGCGCTTGAGGTCCCTGTCGAACTGCTCGTATTGGTGGCTACTCCGGTGGCTCCGGTTCCGGCTCCTGCTGCTACGGCTGCTGCTGTCGGTTCGCGGCGTTTCGGATTGATTTTATTGGACATCGGGAGGGCTCTATCTGCGGCACGAATGTGTCTACAATTCCTCTGGTCCTTAGTTCCTGCAATCCTCGCCAGATTCAGGTTCCTTCCCTCAAGCGATGGTTTTGTTGTGCGCTTTTCTTTTGGCTGTAATTATAGAAAAAGTATTTGAGGTTTAGAGTATAGTTTTCAATGGTGTTTCATAGGGGTAAGTGTGTTTTGGATAGAAGGATACCATTGGTATACATGAAGTACTCCCAATTGAAGTCTAGAGCCTGAGCCTTGAAGTCCTGATCCCTCACTTAGATGACAAATAAATCCTAGCTTGTGTCGAAAATCCATATAAAAGGTGGGCCTCCACCGCAATTAATCATGCCCTGACCTTCACCTTGCCGCGGATTCACAAAAACCCACGCACTTGGCTTGCATTTAAGCAATTATTTAATTCGGAACGTATCGGAACTAGAGTTGGTCTCCCAAAAGCCGTCATAGGCCCGGTTCCGAGGCCATCGGCACGTCTCCGGGCCCAAAAGAAGGTCCGCAAAACCCTCTTGGTGGCACGTGTGGAACCAAACGACGCAAATATGTTTGGCTCTTATCAGCCAAAGCTGACGAATCCGTCGCTCATGGACGGCCATTAGGGACGACGACCCGAGGGGGTGGGCATGGGGAGATGTTGGTGCTGTTGTAATGGGTGTGGTTGCCAGCGGTGTCCACGTCGGGCACAATGGGCACACATGGATATGTGGGCTATGTAGCTATTAACATGAGGGTAGGTGGTCATCGTTTATGCGCCAATATTCGTGTCTTTTAGCAAGAAATTTTATCTTAAAACCCACTGAGTAATAATTCCAACTTATCAGTTTGGTAATATTTTTATTTATATTTTTTAGGAAAGTAGTGGCGCATAAAAATCAGGTTGTGAAGCTAGTGGTTGCGAAACTAGCCAGTATATGTACATATATTATCTTGCAAAATGAAAGTGATAGCGCAGGCCTGAGAGGTGAAGAAAATTGGCAACACATGGAAGTCATAAAAGTCAGCATACTTTTCACAATAACTCAACCCGCATAAACGTTGGCCCATACGCTTTCCTAGGGCACGCAATGAAATGCGCGTAACGTAACGTAACCTCTGCAGTAGCTAGGATAGGGATGGGGATGTGGATGGGAGGATGGGGTATGGGGAGGGAACCCCGACACGACTAGCACACATAATTAACAGTTCGTTTACGCTGCGTACCGTACGAATTAAAAAATAAAAATAAAAAAGAAATACATTCATATGCAGACTGTGGGTAAAATGGTAATTGCTGCCACAAAAGTCATAGCCATGAATATAATTAACTTTATTTTTTTTTTTTTTTTTTTCCACCAATGAGTTGCAAAATAAAATAGAAAACGTAAGTTGCCGACCAGAGCGAAATGTTTTAAGCCATTCCCCATTAACTCTGTCAGCCACCCAGGCAACAACAACAACTGCAGTTATAAACAACAACATTAAAATACATAATATTGTATGTATGTACATAGCTAGTTGTACATAAAGCGATGTAAACTTACATGGCAGGCTGCCTCCAAGAAATGGCGTTTATTTTATTTTGCTTTTTTTTTTATCAGTCAGCCTTTATGACCACACACACACACACTCACACAGACGCCTGCAGGCCAACGTATATGTGTGGGTATATATCCTCTGCAAGTTCCGTTGGATACGGTTTTTTTTTTTTGTTTTTTTTTTTTTCCTTTACTATAAATAATGCAGGTGGTTTTTCAACTGCACGCACACTGGGAAAATGGAAAACTGTTTTGATTGCTTTTCGCCTTTTCGTTCACCTTGCACCAAACTCGAAATTCAGGCGTGAGCTAATTTCATTTGGCTTTTTATCTCATTTTCTTCTACGGCGCACACATTCATTGAAAATATGTACATTTTCAGCTCGCGATGATGCTGTGTTGTTGCTGCTGCTTCTGTTTTCGTAGCTGTGCGTTATTTTTGCTTTTGTTGCTGTTCAAAAATATATCATATGCATTTACATTACACAGCAGCGAGCAGTTTTCCGTCGCGTGTGTTCTTTTTATATATTGCGTATATACTACGTTTTCCGGCCGCTGAGCTGCCTTATTGCGTTATTGCACTTGCACTCGCGCGATGTGGAATCAGTCTTTTTCGGCATTACATATTAGGTGTGATGTCTACAGTTGTTAGAGACTTAATTAATTAATTAATTTACTAAGTTTCTTCTTCTATGTCCGCGTCGGTCAGTGTTAGAGATGCAACGACAATCGATGATAAATCGATTGGTTTGTCCTATCGGTCAGTGTTGGGAAACACTTTTTCTGACATTAGCAAATTCTGTCAATCGAATAAGTTTAAAAAAACCTACAGAAGTGGAATATAGACCCCGAATCTACAAATCCCATGGACTTAGGGCATTGGCCGCCAAATATTTACTCTTTTTAACGCATACCGATAGACATAGTTATCCAACTGTCTTCCTCTATCGTTATCGGTTCAGCATCTGCCTGGCCACACTACATCTCTTGGCGCGTTGATTTTGATTTGAAAAAACATTCGATTTTAAAACCAAAAATATTCTAAAATTCAATTCAACAATTTAAATATTTAATTTTTTAAATTACTCCTTCATTTCAGAGGGCTACCTCACTTCCTGCTCCTTTGATTATTTGTCGGACAACTTTGACACTCGGCTCTTTGTGGGCACCATATTCTTCTTCAGCTTCGTATGCCCCACGTTGATGATCCTGTACTACTATTCACAGATTGTGGGTCACGTCTTCGGTCACGAGAAAGCTTTAAGGGAACAGGCCAAGAAGATGAACGTGGAATCGCTGCGATCCAACGTAGACAAGAGCAAGGAAGCGGCGGAGATCCGCGTGGCCAAGACAGCAATTACCATCTGCTTCCTGTTCTTTGTATCCTGGACGCCCTACGGCGTAATGTCTCTAATTGGGGCATTTGGAGACAAGAGCCTGCTCACTCCAGGCGCTACCATGATCCCGGCGTGCACCTGCAAGCTGGTGGCATGCATAGACCCATTCGTCTATGCGATAAGTCACCCAAGATACCGCATGGAGCTCCAGAAGCGTTGCCCCTGGTTGGGTGTACACGAAAAGTCGGGCGGAGAAGCCTCCTCGGCCCAGTCTACGACCACGCAGGAGCAACAACAGACCACAGCCGCCTAGAATAATGGACATTGATACTTGGACTCTATGGAATTCGTAATACAAAAGCCTTGGGAAACTATAAAATATCGAACGAAAACAGAATGAATTTCTTATAATTTGTAGCTACATATTTTTTGTTAATCAATAAATAGAAAGTTATGGCAAACAAAGAATTAAGGATGTTTGTTAATTATTATTTAGAGATATTTATCATCCCTCTTCCCCCTTTAAAAGTCAATATTTTGAAAATAGTCAATAGTGTATTTATTCGGTTACTGGGTAATATCTTTCAGATACCCAATCTCTGTTCTGTTGGTATTTGTTAAACAAACAAACGATCCTGATCCTCATCCTGTGTGATCCCAAATCCCCTGATCCTCGCCCTCTTAATCATTTGGAAAGTATGGTATGCAGTCGGATCACGGCACGGTAGTCGTTAAACGACAACTGACCACGCTGGGATCGCTGCAGCACACGATTCAGCCTCTCGGTGGTGTCCGAGCTGGAGGTCCTCTTGAACAGATCGTCTAGGTACTTGAGGGACTCGCGCGACCAGAACATGGACGGCTTGTCTGCATCCTTGTCCACGTTGCCATGTTGATCCATTTCGGCAAAAAGGCGATCGCATTCGGGATTCAGGTTCTGATGAAGTTGCAAGTCGGCTCGGGATCTTTGTTGTGGATTGTTGAACGGCATTTGTTTGTTTTGTGGACGTCGGAATTGATTTTGCTGGTTGTTGTTTTGTTGTTGTTGTTGCTGGTGCTGCTGTTGTTGCATGCGTTGCTGTTGTTGTTGTTGTTGCTGCTGTTGCATGCGTTGCTGCTGCAAGCGCTGCTGTTGTTGCTGCTGCTGTTGCAAGCGTTGCTGTTGTTGCTGCTGCTGTTGTTGTAGACGTTGTTGTTGTTGTTGTTGCTGTTGTTGCAAGCGTTGTTGTTGTTGCTGCTGCTGTTGTTGCAACCGTTGTTGTTGCTGTTGCTCCTGCTGCTGTTGCACCAACTGTCGCTGTTTCTTTTTGGTTATTTTGGGTGGAGGCGGCGGCGCCATGTGCGTCCATGCCGGCGCCGGAGGGATGGGTGATGTGGGTCGCTTGCTAGGCGATTGGGGTGAGCTCTGAGCCGGCTTCTTGTACGGTTGCAATCCCAGCAGCACCGGATCAATGTGCAGCGATGGAACACGGTTCTTTTGATCCAGCTTCCCATAGCTCTGCAGCAAGGAATCATAGTTCGGATGGGGGTAGGAGGTGAAGATCATGCGCCAGTGCTCGTCGATTTCGTTTCTTAGCTCCGGAGTGGCATTGTCATCCGGCGATAAGTCCATGAGTTTCCTCAGCAACACCAGTAACTGATCGAGATGAGTGCTGCCATTCAGGAGACCCGCCTGACCCACAAGGATCATGTTGAGCTGACGCCGCTTCTTTTCGGCCATTTTGAAGCCGTTCTTGGTGTTCATGTCCTCCAGCTCCTTGATGCGCAGGTAGTGGTTGGAGGCGTTGCCCAAGTTGCTGGTCAGGCTATTAATACCATCTCGCATGAAGCGAATCAAGACATCGATTCGTTTCGGTGGCTTCTGGCTCTGGAACTCGATGGTCTTGCGTTTTACTTCCTGGTTGCGGCGCAGCAGCTTGAACTGCAGCTCCTCCTGCCTTTCCTTCAGCCCGTATATGACCAGGACATAGCCGTAGTCCTTAAAGTCCATCCTCACACTAACCTGACACTGCTTAGCAGCTGCTGCCAGGAACTCCCTGCCTTCCGGACTGAACAGATACTCGGACTGATCTCGAGCCATTACAATTTTACCTTCACAGGGTACATCGGGTAGTTCCTCACTAGATTCCGGATCCGCCACCTCGCTTCTACGGCCACTACTGTTGGAATTCGCATTTACGCACATGGATATGCCCTGGGTACTGGTGGACGGCTCTTCGAAATCATCATCAACGCTGCTTAAAGGTATGACATCCGGCAACGAGGCCATGGGATGGTCAGGAGGTAGTTGGCTGCGCTGTGGAACTGGGGGCGCCTTCTTCGGCTCGTTCGTGGTCGAACTGGGCACCTCGAAGTGCTCCGAAAAGCTGTAATTCGAATCTGAATCGATGTCGTGAGGGGGAACAACGGTCTTGGCTTTGGTGGCGTCCTTCTCCTGGGGCTCGAAATTTGTGCTAATCTCTTCACGTTGAATGGCATCACTCGGTTCCACAGCTGGTGGAGCCTCAACAGTTTCCTCCTCAACGACTGGCTCTTGAGGTGGCTGCTCCTCTGCCGGGGCAGCGGTCTTCTTAGTATTTCCACTTGCCGCTTTGGCCAACGGATTCGGCACATACTCGCGGGTGAAGATCTTGGCAGGAATCTCATCCACAACCGTCGTCTGTTTCCTTTTAACGGCCTGCACGCGAGCCAAATTCGCGTGAACCAGAAACTTGGCATAGTAGCTGGCCTTGGGAATACTCTTCTTGGTCCATTCAAAGTGGAAGGGAGTCTCGATGGCATAGAAATCCTTCAGATTGCCCAAATCCCCGGGGGCATCACTACGGTCCTGATACACCTTCTGGTGGGAAACAATCTGGCTCATCAGGTTGGTGTTGCGATACTCGCCGATCCTCTGGCGACAGTTCTCGAATAGATGTCCGCGTCCGGCGCAATAGCTGCACTGCTTGGTCTTGTACTGAACGTTGCTGTTGAGTTCGACATTGGACTGGGTCTGAAAAACAAATAACTAAGCTTTACTCCTGGATTTCTAAGATTTCTTCCATGAGATTACCGTTGAGTGATAGCGGCGCCACTTATCCGGGCAGTGGTCCGTTCCATGACCTCGCATCCTGCATAGCTGGCAAACCAGGCGGTTGTGAAAGGTACACTTGTTGCACTGCTGGACATACATCTCCTGCTTGGAGCCGCACTAGAAATATAAACAGAAATCAATGATACAACATGGATAATGGAAGATGGTACAAGGACCTACCCCAAAGCATATGGCATTGGGACAGCGGGGTTCAGCATGACCCACTCCTCCGCACATGAAACAAACTACCGCCTTCCTAGGATGGGGGCACTTGGAGCGAACATGGCCCATCTCCAAGCAGTTGGTGCACTTGCCATGCAAGCGAGGACGCGACACCGGGTACCGGTCGGCGTTTCTGAGTCTCCACTCATTCCGATTGGCTGTAAGAGATATATAAGATATATTTTCATTTTCAAAAGCCACTTCGTATACCCACCAGACATGGCCCGTTGAGCATTCTGCACCGAAAACTGTTCCCCACGCCAACTGTCGTTGTAGAATCGACACATTTCATCGTTCCACCCAATCAAGTCGCCGCCACTCGGAGGACTATCGTCAACAGGAGCGGGAAGATTATGGTCTATCTGGATGACTGACTCTTCCATGGAAACATCCTCATTGCTGGGCTCAGGATCGGCACCTTGCAACTCGAGGGAAGCCTCCTCCTCCATGTCAATGTCCTCCGCTAGGGATACCGTTGTGTCGGCAGGAACATCCCTCGAGTCATCTTCGTTGGAGGAGATGTAGCCACTGGCCTCTTCGTCGTCGTCATGCTGGGGCTTCCTGGTTTGGGCATCGATCCGTTCAAAAACAGCAGCGATGCGGTCCGTCATGGCGTTGTTGAACTCGGCCTCCCCTTCGGCATCGGCATCGGAGCCAATTGAAATTGTATCCAGCACATCATCCGCCGAGGTAGAGGGTTGCGGATTAACCGGCCTGTTGGTCTGGCCCTCCTCCTGTTTAAGCAATCTTTCGGCTATCTCCCGGGCACTGGGCACCTCTTCCTCCGAAGCCGACTCGGAGCTGGCTTCTTTGTTGGCCAATGACTTTGGTTTCGGGTTGCGGGCACCGCTCTTCTGAGTCTTCTGAGTGCTAGTGGGAATCTTGCGCTTGCATCGCTCTACGGCCATACCCCGAGCTATTCCCGGCACCCCAGTGGAGTGGACACCGTCGTCGCTGTCGGAATCGTCCTCCTCGTTGTTGCCCTCCGACTGGCTGTGATTGTTTGTCGACGACGATCGCTTTCGCAGACGCTTGGTTTTCTGGACTACCGCCTCCACGACCTCCTCCAGGGATGAGTTGTCAGAGGGGGAATCAACGTTGCGTATAATGGTTGGCACGGTTTTCGACTTCGCTTTGGAGTATATGCCACTCTCCGTGAGATCCGACTCGCTCTCGTAGACATCCAAAGCGCGAAACTGCTGCTCATCGACGCGGTAGTTCTTCTTGATCTCCTCCAGGCGTGATGGAGGCACAAATTCGTACTCGGAGCAAGTGTCTGGATCGACTGCAGAGTCGGGGTTGGTGTTTTGGGCAGCATCCTCCTGACTCGGACTCTGATCTGGGCCTTGTTCCTGCCGATCCAGGGCATCTCTGATGGCGTTTTCCGTCAAAACCAAGAGGTCCTTATCGTTGGACTTTTCTTTATCCGCCTGCAAGCGAGAGATGTCCTTCTGGACAATGAAATCGTCGCTGGAAAGCACCGAGTTGGAAGGTGAGACCAAGGAAGGTGGCACAAACTGAACACCTTCTCCAGATTTTGGATCTTGCTGGGTTGATTGCGTGTCGCATGATGACACCACATTCATGTCCGCCGCGTCCATCGCGTGCTCTTCATGATACACCAGAGGAGAACCACTTTGCTCCTCGTCGCTGGGATCCAAGTCGATGATAGGAGGTGGGGACAGTGGTACATGCACCACATCGTCATCATCTGAGGCATCGTCATGGCTGCTCTCGGCCAGGTCCACAAACTCGACTGGCTTCGAGTTCTGGTTTCGCTGTTTTTTATTCAACTGGGCCTGCTTGGATTTTTGTTTCTTGGCCGCCAGTTTCTTCAGTAGCTCCAACTTTCGATCAGCTTTACCCAGATGACCCGATCCTGCCTGCTGTTGGTTTTGCTGCTGTTTATTCTGTTTTTGTTTATTCGACTGTTGCTGCTGCTTTTTATTCTGTGGCTGTTCCGGCTGCTTCTTTTGTGGCTCCTGCTGCTGTTTGTTTTGCTTTTTCGGAGGGCAGTTTGGTGGGATGGCCACAAGGAGTCTCTGATCGAAACGCTCCTCCTCGTAAGCCTCATGGTTGGCTTTGATGGGTGGGTTGCTGGTGGTGGTGGAGGATACCTGGGTTTTTGGTTTTTGTACTGCTGGCGATGCGTTGGGCGGAAGCTTCTCCTTCTGTTGGTTCTGCTGCTGCTGCTTCTGTTTCTTCTGGTTCTGTTGCTGCTTGGACTTTTGATTGTTTTGCTGTTTTTGTTGTTGTTTCTGTTTGGTCTTTTGTTTTGGCTGTTGGTTTCCTGTCTTATTAGAGTTGGGAGCGCTCTTGTTGGGAGTAGTCGGTGGTCGTTTAGCATTCGGTTTCTCAGAGCCCTGTTGGGAAGTGGAAGGGGCAGTCACCTCGGTTTCTGGAAGAATAATAGTTGTATGTAGAATATTGCTTATATAGTAGAGTTATAGTTACAACCCCCCCAACAACTCAAAATACATCACATTTTTCAGACTTGGGACACTTTAATACCACGGTGGATTTAGCAAATTACTGAGACGCGTATTGACAACATCCTGCCCCTCCACATCGCCCAGCCGGTAACCCAGACCGGAGAGTTCCACTAGTTGGGAATCGCTGATGTGGAAGAGGACGAACGGCTCCGCTTGAAGGTCCGACCGATTGGGCCAAAGGAGGATCCGCACCGAAGTGCGAAACTCATCGATCGCCTCTCTGATTAGCTTCTGAGCCATGGACAGGTGTTCAAAGGGCTCTAGCTCCTTATCTTTCGTTTCCTGCTGCGCCTGCACTTTGAGGGCTTGTTCCAGCTGCTTCACCAAACGCAAGAACACGAACCTTCGGTAGCGTTCCTCGAAGTGCTGACGCGGCAGGTTGTAGCGACTCATCTGGCGACGGATCAAGGCTGAAAAGAGGACGGCGTCTACACAGGAACCCAGGACACTGACAGAGCCCATTAGGACAATCGCGGACAATAGGTACTCGACGAATCGCCGGTCCAGCTCGTCGCACCAATAAAATAGATCGCGACCGTGCCACACGAGCTGGTAGTGAAGCAGGCACACTACACAGAGCAGGTCCAACGTGGCCAGCGCCAGCAAGCAGTGGTCCAGATGACAGAGCCACCGGTTGAGCGCTTGACGGGCACACCTGCCCACACCCAGCATTCGGCTGAGGAAACAGGTCATCGTCGGTTAGGAGTTGTCGGAAATTTTGAAGTCACGCCAACGAAATATTTTTGAACGGCTGGGTTTTAACCCAAGTCCCAAAGCCAAGGTGATAGCCCAATGGTGCAGGGAGAGGTGAACTTAGAGAAAACTAATAAGCATTAATACCACTGGACATCATCATAGCATACATAGAAGTCCTATTTCCTTCACATATATTTTGTTCGCGCTTCATATCTATTAATAAAGAAAAATACAATAATCTCGGTAGATAGAGCGACACCTCACCTGTGTTTGTTTTGTTTGGTGCTTGGGCCTCCTCGACCTGCCCCCCGGTTACTGCTTCTTCCTCCGTCCAATATCGTGGTTTTGGCTTGGCGTTGTTGATAACACGCGTTCCACTCACAAGGCGCACGGATTGCAGTGGCGTGGGCATAATCTTTCCATCCTGGTCGTTGGCTGAGGGCTCCACTCCATCAAATCCATCGCTGTAGTGGACCGAAGCATACAAAATCGACTCTAACTCGTTAAGGCCCTCCCGGTCGAGCTCATCAAGCTGGAAAAACCATACAATAGAGATGGGTCCGAGTGGACCTGTAGCAGCAACTCACATCTTCCATCAGGTGTGTTGTTGATTTCCCTTTTATTTGCTTTCAATTTGATATTGTTGAACATTGATAATAACAAAGAAAAGAGAGCACGTTGATCTAGCGATGGGCAAAACTTCCAGAGCTGATGTAATGGAGATGAGTGGCTGGCTACGTTCTAAATATCGAATACCTATCGATAGTAGGCTTGCTCATCGATATCGATAACGATTTGAGCAACTCTTGCTGCCGGGCCACGTACAATTTACGACAAAAAATAACAAGTGAGAATTAAAACTTAAATACAATGTAAGTTTACAGTAAATACTCAAAGAAACTATTCGTATTTAATATCAACTCTATCGGCAGCATGGAAGTGATGAAACGCTACGTATCGCCTGTCAACCCGGCCGTTTTCCCCCACCTAGCTACCGTTCTTCTGATTATTGGAACCTTCTTCACCGCCTGGTTCTTCATCTTTGTGGTGTCCCGGAAAAACGCAAAGGAATCCACGCTTATCAAGGAGCTACTGATTAGCCTGTGTGCCTCGATATTCCTGGGATTCGGCATTGTTTTCCTACTTTTAACCGTCGGTATATACGTATGATGTATAAGGATAAGCGAATCATTCCGTGTAGAAATAAATTGAAGATCTGTGTGTGGGCGTGAACGTAAGAATGAGGCCTTCTTTTATTTCAGTTTATTGTAATTTCAATTTTTAAGATTCAATTTGCGCTTAAAACAATGTCGAATATATATTATGTTAACACATATAAATCGTCTATACTCGTGCAATACCCCCATCGAATGAAAAATCACTGCAACTTTTAAATCGAAACATGACGAATCGGAAACTGAACATCTCAACTAGTGTGGTTAGGATGGTCTCTATCCGGCCAACCCGGCCTTCTGTCTGCACTTCTGCATGGTGGCTCGAAGTATGAACTGCTTCCGAGACAGCGTACGAACATGTTTTAGGAAAGTCTCTAGGTCGATGACGCCACCGCGCAGTCCCTCACCCAGATAATATATGGCATCCTCGGTGGCAGCTTCGTCGGCATAGGCGTTGAGTAATCTGGGGGATAAGCCATTTCAAAATGTCCTTAGCATGATGTTGATAAGCTTAAAATGGTGTTAAACTCACTGTCGGTATAGTGGGGCGGTGGTAGTCACCGCCTCATCTGGATCGATCGCCTCGGCGCTCTCCAACGTTGCAAGGCTCTTCTCCAGCTCCTCTTCCTTGTCCTTCAGCACGGCAATGTTTTTCTTCAAGTCGACTTCCTCACGCTCTAAGCGCGATATAATAGAATCGATCTTGGCGCTGCCCTCGACCAACTCTGACTTGGTCCGATTCAACGTTTCAATCTCTGCTTGATACTGATTTACTTTTTCCTGAAGGCGACGACGCAGCTTGTCTTCCACGGCACTGATTAGTGATGCTTTAATGTGCTCCTCCGTAATGGTTCCAGTGGAGCTTGCATTGGATGATGGATTCTAAAAAAACAAATTGAAATATGAACTAAATTGTTTACTTGAACAAGTACGTATCATACATAGCCCCCAGCTGGTGGATAGCCACCGGATGGTTGAGGGAAATTCATGTAGGGCGGATAACCAGCGCCATGACCAGCCGGACCTCCGCCGGCCGGAGGATAGGGAGATCCAAAGTTAGAGCCAGTGGGGTACGGCGGAAAGTTGCCTCCACCAGCACCACCGGCAGTGGGATACGGCAAATACGAGCTGCTGGGCCCAGCACCTCCGGGCTGAGGCATGAAAGCTGAAAAGAAAGTGTTGGTTAAAGTATTTCTACATAACAGCATGTACAGAAGTTTTTATATAATGCAAGTAATGTGATACACGCTATATGCGATATTGTTTAGTCTCAAGTGCTTTACTGCAGGTGCAGGTTTTGTTTAAGTGCAGGTGGAAAAGCAATTCAATGGAATTATAATGCTTACAGTTATTGGGGTATGGCGCCGCTATTTGTTCCTTCGGCTTGGAGTACACCGGCGGGTGATCTCCAAAGGTCACCATCATCACCTGGATGAGTGATAGCAGATCCGATGAGTGAGGCTGCCAATCGTGTAAATATGGCAAGTACACTTTTCCATTGTGGTCCACATACATGGACACTTTTATCTGCATGGTGGGAGTGGGTTTCACAAAACACATAGGCGCATTTTGTGGATGGGTGTCCATAAGCCATATACATATAGGAATGTGATACGTGTTATCTGGAAAAACAGGAAAACGAGTATAAAAAAGCCACTTGAGTGGGTCCTCATATACACTAGTATATAAACATACTCTTGTAGACAACGGGTATGGTTCCTTGTAAAGTGAACAAATCCTTGGCGGTGCCGTCGTTGAAAACTGAAATTCAGGGGTTTCACAAGTATGAGATTATGCTAATTTCAAGCTAACATCTTGGGAGGCTGTTATCAGTTGGAACTCACCGAACCGCTGAAGATCATAGGTCAAACTTCTATATGTCGTGACCACATCGACCACATCCTTCTTGGTGGCTCCCACATACTTGTACTGTAATTAAAACACCATTGTTTAATTAATTGCGTTGCGTGCAATAAGGAAAAAAAAAGCAGAATCCAAAAGATTGGCTATGAGTCATCTGCAGGTCCCACCTTTGAAAGATATCTAGTTATTTGTGCCTCCTCGACCGCGGGCATTCTTGAGGTATATTAGCTAGTCAATTCCGCCTCGGCACCAGACCGAAAGAGTTCTCAAGAGTTAATTGACAGGTAATTTTCTGAAAAAAAACAAAAGTACGAACTGTAGGTGTAGGAGCTCTCAGATTAGTGTTGGTAAGTATCTAAAAGTAGAGGCAAGTAGGATTTTGGCATCGAAATATAAACGGTCTCACTACAAAATTTCTTAAAATGTCCTTTATCTACTTAAATCGTATAAATGTATCTAAAATTGGGCTCAAAATAGCTTAAAATTAAATATTTTCAGAAATTTTTAAGTGTTTCAAATAGCAATAAAATAAGCGTTGCCAGATCGTTTTATGATATTCGATTTCGCTTGTTATCGATTTATAGCCGTTAAAATAAAAATTTAAAATATTTAAAATCTAACAATACAACACCTAAAGTTTACTGCTTTTTGTATCGATTGTTAAATAGAACAAACACTGTTCCAGGGGCTGTTAAATTTTATTATTTAAGACCTAAGATGCTCCAAAGTTTTTAAGACCGCATTCTCAGCCTCCATTTCCACTTACACCGATCCCCTTCTGCTTATTCTAATTAAACAAATCTTGTTTCAATCGATATACCCCCGGGCTAGCTTTACCACAATTAAGCCAAAAACGTGCCAATTACCAACTGGCTTATCTCTGCAAAGTAAATCCCATGTACAGACCTATTGCTCCACTCGTTAAGCCTAATTGTGGCCGCAAATTGGCGCGAGTCGTTAAACTTTTTCGAGGCACTTTGTCGCGAATTTCAATTTCAATTCCGATGCGGATTCCGCTTTGACAGTAATTACGTCCAATGTCTCAAGTTCGCGCACATAAAATTTCGATTCCATGGAAGGTCAGCTCTAATGCCTTTTGTTACTGTTTGCTTTGCTGATTGATTTTTTGGCCGGGCCAAAACGTAATCAATAAATCAGTGAGTACTTTACAGTAGCCAAATGTTGCCCTTACGTGATGGGGTATACCTGGTATTATCAAAAGGGATTGGAGCTCGGAGATATTTATATAGAAATAGTATAGGCAGATGGTAAAAATTGTCCCTATTAAAAAATATAACAAAAACTGCATTAGATAATAGACTAATTACTGGGTATATTCGATTCGGTGTATAATTTTATGGAAACGGCAGGTGCTTTTGGACAATTGGCTTCTTGTGGTCTTGCCTTCGGCCAAAAAAATTATTGCTTTGTGTACTTGAACTTGCGCCAAGTGCTCGGTTGCTCGGCTGAAGTTCAAATCAGTAGTGAATACGCATAAATCACATTGGGCACACTCTGGTCTGGTCTGGGCTGGCTGGTCGGCTGGCTGATTACTCATACGCCTCGTGGTCGCTTTTAATTAGCCAAAGCGATTCTTATCACTGCTGGCTACTGCTGCTCGGGGGAACTGCTGACGACGATACTTGGATGCCACGGCTGCCTCCGCTCTGTAATTGCCTTTGGCTTTTGTAAACTTGATTTTCTCAACCGCGTTGACCTCCGGCCAGCTGTGCTTCTTCTGCCGTCAGCTTTTTGATAATAATGATCATCAGAATGATCATCGCAGTGATCAGGTCTTTGTATATTCTCTCTTTTGGCTGTGAAATCTTCTAGCCCCTGTCCCAAGGCCAGCCAAATTACAACAAAGCTCTGGGCGGCAATTGAGTTCATTATCATAATAACCCATTGACCAACTAACTGTTGTAACTTTTTCAGAGCCCAGCTCAGCATATATGCCTGGGAGGTCTCGGATTCGCCTCAGAATCGATTGTGTCGATGATATATGCGACCGGATTCGGAAGATCGAATCTCGTCCAGAAGTCACCATCAATTTTGTCACCTGAAATGCACACCTCGATTAATCAATTCACACCTGCCAATGACTCTTAATGAGTGCCATTAATTAGAAGTAAACAATTTTTAGCAACTCGCACATCTCGTGCACTTTGAGGCCGAGTACTTGACCCAAAACACCCTCTCCGGCCAGAAGTTCTAGCTTGATAGATCCGTTTCGGCGTAATGGACTCGACCAAAGCGGAAGTGGGCTGGCAAAGCCCGGCTAATTGGCTGTCATTATGTCTTTTCATTTTATAAATAGGAAATCTTCGAGATTTATTTTCGGCGTACTTATAGCTCGCAGTTCTAAAAATAAAGCCTAATGAGCGCACTCAAGCCAACAATAATAAACTAAAAATAAAATTAAATTAATCCGTCAGTGTCGGGCCAAAAAAAAAAAGATCACAAACGACCGCAAAGAGATGCCTTAAAAAGAAAAGCCAAAGTTCCCCGGAGAATTCTCAGGAACCAATCTTCTATTAAACTCATTATTCATGTAGCCATGGTCCGCCCCAGTGACCCCTTTGATTTGGGTTCCGCTGTCAAAATCCATTGTAATGTTATTTAATTCATTATGCCATTAGAAAAAAAATCAATTTAAACAAAAGAGCGGCACAAGAATCAATAATACACCTGATGCTGATGCTGCCATGACATGCTATATGCTATACTCGTACATCTAAAGATATGTCGGTGCCAGCCCCCACTGACAATATCATTAACAACAAAGAACTGCTAGATTTCTGCCAGCATCACTTTGCAGCTATTAATGAACAAAACCGAAGATATTGGAAAAAAACAAAACCTATCCAAGAACAAATAAATACGTAGAAATACGCAAGCCATGAAGTATTATTCGATAAAAGGCTTGAACTTTGAGCATGAAAAGTTTTTGGCGTATAATAGTTTTTAATAATAATGTACATGAAGACAAGTATTAAAAAAAGTAAACTTTTTAACCATTTCTAAAATTATTCCTATAAAAATACGTATATGGAGTATCTCCTTTTGGCGCTATCCACTATTTTAATAATAGCATAGATGCCAGAGTATTAGTTCTCATTCTTTTTTTTCCAGAAGATTCATTATTCAAGCTTTAAAGCTAAAACTTAACCTAGGCTCACCTGTTTTGGGTTTTTGGGCGTTGCTGGAGGTCACTTCCGGGTCAATATCTCCTCCCCCTTCCCGGGCGTTTTACATCTTCTGAACTCTGCCACTCAGTGGCGATGTGATCGCCGACGAAAGAAATCATTAATTAGCAAATTACTTTGTTTTTGTGACAAAATACCCGAAATTGTTCGTGTGCTGAGGATGATTGATGGTCGTTTGATTTGTGTGAACATTGAATTAGCCATCATTTGTGGGACTGTCAGCGATCGGTAATGTGAACAGGGACTCTTCCTCCGGGCGAAAAGTTCGGTAAGCTCCGGTTCCGCATTGCTGGCGTTAAAAAATGATAAATTATTAGGACACACTCCGTACTTGACTATGCTAGCTTCCTCGGCTTTAACTTTTCTGACATGGAGCAGTAAAGAGCACTAAATAAAGGCAATGACACGGCGCTGACAGTTCAGAATGTGAAATGAGCCGCGAAAAACCTTCGCGCGGCCGCCGTTGTTGTGTTTTCTAGAACCCCAAAAACCCATTTCAAGTTAACAATATTTTTCGAGCATAATTACGACGACAGCAGTGGACACAATTACCCAGATTTTTAAATTGTATAGCAGAAGGGGGAAGGGGTTCAATGTCACTATTACAGGAAGCGTTTCAAATTGTTTTGCCTAACTTGGCATAGTTTAGAGAGCTTCGTGTCTAGCCCTGGCCGGATTATCACGCCTCAATAATATTATTTCACTTATCAATGGCGCTCAGAATTAAATTAAATAAATTGCCATTTGTCTATGTTTCTCGCTACTGTTTTTGTTTCGATTTTGGTTTCGATTTCTGCTTCTGTTTCTGATGGCTGTTAGATTTCGCATAAAAGTTCAATTAATTATGGAAACAAATGATCGCGAAATATTTGAATTTGGATATTTGGTTTCGCCTGTGCTCCACTATCGTTAAAGCGAATTTTATGAATGATCGGGGTTTCCAGTTTGTGATTTCGAATGTTTGGCACGTAATCCAAAGCCTAGGCCAAAGCACTCACGCTCAAATTGGCTTATATAATTCTATGACCATTTTGCATTGTAATCTTTTCAGCTAAATTGATCGATTCTGTTCTTTTTTCTGTGTACTGGCAATTAATGAACTGGCAAATTATCAATAATCTTAGATCAGCTCCTTTCAAGTGGCAAATTAGAACAGAAGTTGACGGATGCTGGTTGAATAACTCACAGAGTGGGTTCCGTCTGAGTCACAAAATTAGTCAGCTTTTTAGTGGTTTGTGGTATATTCTTTAAACATTAGTAATGGGAATAATCCATAATGGGTAAGGAATATTTAGATTATTCTTAATGTCATATTTAGCCCATATTTTAATTTAAATTTCAAATCTTTCATTAAAGATTCTATTTAAATAAGCCTTTTAATAAACTGTTGATGCAATTTGTTAGTTTTTGTTTATTTAACAAAGTGACACATAATCATTAATCTCATTACAAGTGGAAAATTAGAATATTAATTGACTAATGGCGATTTAATCTGTTATGAATGTAAGTCACCGTTTCGAAGGCGAATAGTAGGTTGTATAATTCCATAGAGTAAGAAACCTTAGGGGAACTATTTCCCAAGACCTAGAATAACTTATTGTATAATTTAAAACAATTTCATGTAATTTACAACACAAATAAATCACCCTTCTCAAAAAAATGTTGCTTATTACAACAAAATGTTTATTATTTCGGCAATACAAACCGTAATAAATTATCAAAAAAATCGGTTTAATTATTCCGAATTTGCTTGCATGCCAGATATGTATACAGTAGCACTTCACTGGTCACATCCGACTACCGCAGTTACTCATCGCTGGACTCGAGTGCTTCCGGTAATGCGAAAACACCTGACGAAAATCAAAAGACTTAGGCAACGAACTTGTCGCCGCCGCTCGGCCTTTGCGACCTTTCTCATGCTCTGCCCTAGCCTGCTGGCCGACGACTATTGCCCCTTGGGCCCCGTCGCATACAAATGCTGGCTTAAGTGAACTTTAATTGTCGCCAGGGCCACGCCCACTCGCCTTCGAATGAAAAAGCTGAGACGGATAGTGCTCGGAATCGATGAGTTTGGCACGTAAAATTGATTTTTGTCCAGGCCAGAACTTATTTTTTGTTTTTTTTTCGGGGAATACGTGAC